TCTCAATTGTCAAGTCGTGACAACATTTGCTTGATATGAAAGCTTTGCAACCCGAATGTACGAAATAATAGTTCCCAAACACGTAATTTGCACGAACATACAACGTCGAGTTCTTAGAATTAGATTTAGACGCTTTATCGCGACGAATTCATTGTACAAAAATTGACACGTATGTGGGACTGCGTGTATCATAGGCTGCGTGAGATATTGCTGTGGTAGTATAAAAAGACATGTCGATGTGCCGCGCGCGGTGCGACATCTAGCGATTTCGTCGGAGTTCGAGCTTTGCTTTAGGATTCAGTTTTTCTTATAAAATCTTTTTTTTTAATGTTTCTAAAATTTTTTGTCACTGAGTTATCGCGGATTAAATAAAAGAAGCATTTATACTTTGATTGCTCATAACTCTATCAAAAATCATCAAATCGTACTGCAATTAAAAAAACAGATTCTTAAAATTAAAAATATTGAATGTCAATTCTTTTTAAACATGTAGACACGAGACAAATGAAGTATCGTAACAAACTTTAGTTCCAACAAATGTATTAACAGTCAGATACATTCTTCGGGATAAAAGTAAGAGATAAGAGATAAATCTTTATAAAAAATTCTTAGCTCGCGAGCATATTATCGGCGCCACTATTATTGACTTGCATTACGAGATAACAGGAACATTAAAGAACGAGAAAGGTCAGGAAATTGTCTTAATCCTTTTATATATCCTGTACATTGTAATGTACATACAATAAATTTGAAGACATCATCCATTGAAATTATTTAGTTCTATCGACATCATCTGAGATCTGAACATAATTTATATATTGAAAAGAATTAATTTAAGAATTTATATATAATTTATTAATTTAAAAATTAGTTTCAAAGAAATTAACTTTTTAGTATGAATTACTTATTGAAGTGCCCTTAAATTGAATTAAACAAATTTTGTTATCATAGTTCCATTAAAATCAGGTTTGAAAGAATAAACAAAAAACTTCCTTGATAAGCGCTGTCAAAGCTGTTATTAAATCGTTAGAAGTACACCGTGGAAATCACCCGGTCGGCTCCGTCGACTGTATTTTTGTATTGACATTCCCGCGGTCTTTAGTATTTTGAATGAATCCTCGCTATTGAATGAATCCTCGCACGCGCTTGTCCGGGGATGACTTACGGGTTTGGGCGTGCAGGTAAAGATGCACCCGGGATCGGAGTTCGTTGAACCACTGCACCAGCTTCGTGGCGGCGACTTCCATGATCGTCGCTCGTCGTCGTCACGCGTACCGTTTCTTTCGCCGGATCTTTCTACCTCTCTACTCTCTTACTTCCTCGCACGCACGTATCTCACATGTCTACACGCGCGCTACGCCCTTGCCGATTCATGTTCCGTTCTCCGCGTTGCTCTGCGTGGACGAAGTGATAAACGAGTCTCTCTTTCTCTCTTTCACGCGTGCGGCACTTTGATGGGAGCTCGTGCCGCGGCCGGACCGGAGCAGCAGCTGCAAGGTCGCCGCATCGGGGAAACGGCAACGGGGAAGACGACGGGAGCGACGTCAGTTCCGCGACGCGGTTTGGATCGCCTGTAAAAACCCCGATGAATAATCCTCCCCCTTTAATTGCATCGATCGTCGCGCGCGATGTGCCGCGCAACGATGTCGGTGCGCGTTACGTTCGCTTCCATTCGGAGATTCGGGGAGGAGGAAACGGACTGCCGACGCCGACGCCGACGCCGACGCGCCTCCACTGGTCCGCGGTGACTTTTTGAGGTTATGCCGAAGCTGACGTGCTCGAGGAATGATTTCCGTAAATAACGGTCGGCTTATCAAAACGCGTGATTATTCACAGTTAGCCACATTCTTGAAGTACGTTTGGCGAACGTCTGGCGAACGCACTCGCGTTTCCGCGTGAAAAAAAAAAAGACTGCACCAATGGTTCGCACCGATGCATCGCACCGATGCATCGCATCGCGTCATACCAACGACGACGTCGACGACGACGTTATTGTCACGTGTTTACAGCGCTGCGTAGCAGTGCATCTTATACAGGGTGTCCGCGTGTATTTCGTTGGCCTTTCTCGAGTCAATCCGCAATACTTCTGCAGCACAAATGTACGCATTAATAATAATAAGAAAATTATTGTAAAATATAATCTCAAATTATATAACAAAAATATAGATATATTTATATTATATAATAAAATAATGTGATAATGATAATAATGTTAAATAAATAGAAAGTTTTATAATATTGAGATGGAACAAAAGTTCATAGCGTTACGAACTTCAAAATTTAAGCAATTGTAACTTCGTTAAAAATGAACGAAATTTAAATTTTAAAAAAGGGTTTTAAAGCTTAAAATGATTTTAAGAAAGTAGAGATTTTAATCAAATTCTCTACTTTAATAAAATCTCTACTTTAATAAAATCTCTATTTTAATAAAATCTCTCACGAAATTTAAACTTTAAAAAAGGGTTTTAAAGCTCTTAAAATGAGAATTTTCATAAAATCTCTACTTTCTAAAGATCACTACGCTTTTTGAGTTCTTATGAGTTTAGTAATTTTTCCTTATAAAAAATGGGAAATTTTCTTCTTTGTGGACCTGTCACGTACCCAAAAACAAAAGCGAAGATTTTTGGCTTTCTATTGTAAAAGCTTACAGTTTCCCCTATAAAATCGTTTTTTTTTAATGTTCCTAAGATTTTTTTATTATTGAGTTATCGCGTTGTTAAATAAAAGAAACATTTTGATTTTAATAACTCCGTTAAAAATTATCGTGCTGCAATTTAAAAAATAGATTTTTAAAGCTAAAATTTGCTCTATCGAATAATATAATTGCCAATTTTTTTAAAAGAACACATAGACATGATACAACCCTAATAGCACACTTTATTCAAAGGACGTTCTGACGAATATTTTTAGGATAGAGATATTTTCTGAATGTTCTTTGGAACGTCCCTTGGAGATCTGTGTTATTGGGGAAATAAAGCAACAAACTTTTGTTTCAATTCAACACGTTTATAATAAATGCTTGTTCGTCAAAAAAAAGTTTAATCTGTGGATTGCTCGAAGAAATCAGCTTGACGTCGAAAGATAAACGCGACAGAAACGGGACACCCTGTATACATACGTTCAAGTTCGACATGTTCGACTGCCAAGAGTACCAAGAATTTACGATACGTGTTCCATGCGTCTGATGAAAAATCAACGAACGTACGAGAGATGAATGAGGATCTCCAGAACGTCGCGGCGTCCTCGGCGTCGCGGAAACGGTGCAACGTGACGCGATGGATTTAATTAACGTCGGATTATCGATTTCCCGTCCGGTCGTAAAAAAAAACTCGGCGACACACTACGCTACGCCGAATATGTTGTCCGGGAGATAACGATTGCGTAACGCGGTAACGCGATGGTGGGCGGTCGCGTAATCCCGGGCGTTATTACATCCCGTCCTCCGTTCGCATGCAAAACGTTTGCGCTCGTTTATCGGACGATCGTAGCGCTAAACTGACGCGATTAGCATTTCCGTCGCGTACATTTCGCCTCCTGGCTTCGCAGATACGCGCATGTTTATGACACATTGCCGTAAAATATGAAAACTGGATCTATGAGAAATAAAATAAAAATCTTCAATGAACTACATTGGCTGCGTTCAGCAGAGGAAGCAGTTTTACAATTGTTGTAAAATTCTTTAAAGGCTTTAATATTGTTCCATTTTTAGATAAACTTGTAATAATTTATCTAATGGATAAACTAAAGAGTAAGAGCATGACAGAGAAAGTAAGAAAGTGAGCTGAGGTTTATCGAAAGGTGGAACAACGCAGCTTAATATGATTTATTTATACATTTAGATCCAGTGAAGAATTAAGGACAAGACCAATCGTATTAAAGAAGTTTATAACGGTTATAAAGCTGCTTTCTCTGTTGAACACAGCCAAGAATTAATTTGAAGTATAGATGTATGAAGAGAGCAAGGAAGTCTTGCTCTTAAATTTTGATAAAGAAAAACAATTAGATTATAAACATCGGTTTTACGACGAAAAGTTAACTCGTTGGCTAATGCATATTTCAAGAAAGTTCACTGAAGATCCTCAAAGACTTTAATAGTCATTAATCGACAAGATTTGAATAAAAAGTAAATATTCAACAAGGGCGAGAGAGTGAGAGTAAAAGAATTATGGTCATGCATAAATAATGTTTAACTTCTTTTTATATCATTTGCAAGACGATCGAACGTTTTGATTCAATTCGAGCCATATCATCAGCATTTCATTAATATGATGAATCCACAAAAGATAAATACTAGAATTGTTCTGTGGACTCATCGTTCACATTAATGAAATGTTTGAATTTCAGATATATCTGAATATTAAATAAAAAATAAATATTCAGCAAGGACGAGTGAGAGTAAAAGAACTGCGCGGTAATTCGTATGCTATAATTTAACCATCATAAATTGTACTCTCTCTTAACTTCTTATATTATTTACAAAACAATCGGATGTTTCGGCTCAATTTAAGCCATCATCAGCGATATATCGATAAGAGAGAGTACAATTTATGATGGTTAAATTATAGCATACGGATTACCGCGCAGTTCTTTTACTCTCACTCGTCCTTGCTGAATATTTATTTTTTATTTAATATAAGTGTTTTAATAAATTTTGTGTCAAAAAAAATTTTGCCCCCTTCCTAATTGAAATCCTATATTAATTCTTTTTCATTATAATACATCTCTTTTCTTTTAAAGCAAATTTAAAATGTGCTGAAATGCAGGTCATATATACGTTGATCGGTTTGAGCAAGATCATGGAATTATTCGATCCATCATCAGAATTAATGCAATGTATGTCCCGTTTGATCGATCGTAGCAATTAAAATGTTAGTAAAAAAATTAGGATAATAAATTGCACTTTGTGACATCATCATAAAATACTAAAACTGGATCTGCAATAAATAAAAAAAAATTTTAACGCACAAACTACATTTTCCTTAAGAATTAATTTCAAGCACATAAATCTCTTATTTTTAATATATCTCGTCTCTTTTAATGCAGAATCAAAATATATCAAAAATGCAGACCATTTATTGGTCGGTTTGGGTTAGAAATCGCGGAATTATAAGAAAGGAAATGCCAATGTGAGCCAACATCAGTTCTTCGTGTGTAATCCAATATATGTATTAAATATATGGTACAGACGTTTCGACCCTATAGTACTGGGTCCTCTTCAGTGTATAATATAAAATCAATCCATAAAGTCAATTAATAATGAAAAGATAAGTAAAACGCTAAAAAAACCGTTTGTATCACATACTTTAATACATATATTGGATTACACACAAAGAACTGGTGTCGGCTCACATTGGCATTTCCTTTCTACATCAACGTATTTATAGTTCAATTTATTTGGAGAGCCTTATTTTTGTATTTCTAATTTATTTTATTGTCCATTATAAGAATTGCCTTGTTTGATCGGAACTCGATCACGATAATTCGAATATTAGAAGATTATAGCGAAAAAAAATCAGATAATGATATTGCTTGTAATCATTACATGAAGAAGACGATACCGAAACACGCAATTCAGGTCTTTCATATTGTATTAAAAAGAGGCATAAGAGAAGATTAATGCTTAAAATTATTTTTTAAGAAAAAATATAGTTTGCTACAGTTGTTTTTTTATTCACTACACTGGAAAAAAGAGTCTAATGCATTAATTAAAATTCTAGTTGAAAATGAACAAATCAGAATTTTCTCGCTGAATTTATTATAATTCTAGTTGAGATGATTCTAATTGAATTGAAAATTTTAATTGTTTTGGTCAAAATCTTCTGATTCGCTAATTTTCAATCAAAGATTTTTTTTCACGAGAATAGATCAAGTTTATGGCCATAATCTTTTATCCTATGAAACTGAAAGGAGATTATATCATCGGCAGTGAATGCGGTGGAATCAGAATTATTTATAAAACGAACATCTCTTTCAATTCCGTGAAGTTTAACGCTACGAAATAAATGCTATATTAGCGAGATTTTTAAACTGATGACATTTAACTTATTTATAATTCGTCCTCACGTTATTGTATAATCGATACGAAATACTCTCACAAATTAGCTTCGCGTAGCTCAGTAAATAAAATATCGAATCGATCCTTCGTTCTATGCAATCTTTGTTTTGTAAGACAGTCAGAAGCGCATACACTGAGAAAAATACTTAATATAATATGGCCTAATTAATACAAAATTAAATGAAATATGTTGAGAAAAGCTACGAGCCAAAAATAATATATTTAATATAGACTAACGAAAGGTAATAAAAAGTAGAGCTATATGAAAGTTACAACAAACGACGTTTTGACTCCGATCGAGTCATTCTCAATGTTAAACATATAATACTAATAATTATAAACTGAGAAAAATGTTTGGTTGAAAAAGGACAAAAACCGGAAGATTCTGATTAACTAAATCAACGTTCCGATTGAGATAACCTGAATCCTGATTAATTTAATCAGAATCTTCTGGTTTTTGTCCATTTTCAACCAAACATTTTTTTTCAGTGTACAGGAATTTTTCAGACACAAATTCCCAAAGTCTCTCTACGTTTACTCCAATTCAGATAAAAAGATCGCGATGCCAAAATCCTGGACGAATCGGCACGCCTCGTTCGACGATTGAACGAGCCTTCCGCAAAGGAAAAAAGTTAGCGTATCTGGTCGCCCGCAATCGATCCTTCGCACCTTTTCTCCGTCCAGAAATAATAAAATGGATACGTCCTACGCACGCACTTGCCTCACGCACACAATTTTCCGAAACGACACAATGCGACGCAACGGCAAGAAAACGGATGCGATCCGATATGTGATCCGCTCTCGCCCGAATCAGGGTAACGATTGCTTGAAACAAGTGCGTCTACATCATTAGACGCGCGTCAGAAGGAGCCTCCTCCCTCGCCACACCCCTGTTGGCGCAACAACGA